AGAACTTACTACAACATACTTAGGTCAAAAATAGTGTTTATTTTTAAAGAACATAGTACAACATATTTAACATTTAATATTTAATGTGGAGCAAAAAAAGGCAAGCACCAATATAATAATGACAATTGAACTTAATTCACCGTATCTAAAATGGTACCAGTTTGTAATCTGAGAAGTGAAATAATCCCAGTCAAAGGAAGCACCAAAAACGGTCAAGTAAAAAATAACCCACCTATAATTTTCTTCGGATAGTATTCAATGATTTTGGAAGGTTTCAAGTAGATAGGACCAGCCATTCTTGAGTTATAAGCAAATATACAGACATATACTTCATTTGATACATATATAATTTTTTTTTATCAATAATTTGTTAAAATGCTATCTTCTGAAAGATTTTGTATGTGCAGCTTTCGGCAGCTCACCAAAACTCGGTAAGTGGCCCGCCAGCCAAAATAGTTGCCCACCGGTGACATAGATTGTAAGGAACAATCCTGCAGGGCAGGAATGAAGGCTTGATCCCGAATGGGAGTTTTCCATCTCTGCCTTCTGCTGCATCCTACACCAGGTGTGTTAACCCAGGAGCTAGACCAATGATTCTCAGCCAGGGTGATGTGGCACCCTGGGTCACTACAATATTCTCTTAAGGGTGCTGCAGTAGTGGCCCCTCTGAAGAGATAAGTGCTTGCTTCTCCCCTACCTGGTTCTCTGCACCTACCCCATGTCTACAGTCAAGTGGAGCTTGCAGGGCTTCTCTAGGGACTCCCCCTGCTGCTCCCCCACCCCCATCCTTCCCCCTGCAAAGTGCTGAGCAATGCGGGGAGCGAAGGGGGTTGCAACACTGTGCTTTTCTACCCAACTTGTGCTCAGTGAAGTCTCTCTGCAGTCCACCTTTGACCTTTTCTCAGGTATCTATCACAGCCTGGGACTTTCCCTTAACACTGGGAAGACCAAGGTGCTCCATCAGCCTGCCCCAGGACAAGCTTCCCCCTCTCCCACAAATTACCATTGGTGAAGAACCCCTGGCAAACACTGAACATTTCCCATTCCTTGGCAGTCACCTCTCGCTGTCAGTCCATCTTGAAGTAGAAATCAAACACAAGATTCTCTGTGCCGGCGTATCCTTCAGAAAGCTGCTTCGGTGTGTCTTTTCTGACTGAGATCTGCAGATGGAAACTAAGATCCCAGTCTACAATGCAGTGGTTACCCCCATACTCCTCTATGGGTGTGAGACGTGGGTGACATATTGAAGTCATCTTAAGTGCCTGGAATGGTTCCATCAGCATTGCCTCAGGAAGATCTTTTGCATTAGATGCGAAGACCACTGAACCAATGCCAGCATCCTCTCTGCAACTAACATAACCAGCATTGAGGCAAAGATCATGAAATATCAACTCTGCTGGGCAGGCCATGGTATATGAATGACTGATACTCGTCTCCCGAAGCAAGTCCTCTTCTCTCAACTTAGTCATGGTAAGAGGACCCACAAAGGATAGAGGAAGTGCTACAAAGACCCCCTGAAAGCATACCTTAAGAAGCATGGCATCAACCCTACAAATTGGGAAGTGCTGGCTGGTAACAGGTCTCAGTGGCACTGCACCATACATCAAGCTACAGTCCACTTTGAATAGAACTGTCTTGCTCAGGAAGCTGAGAAACAGCAGAGAGGAAGGAAAGCGCATAACATCCTAGCCAACGGTTGTGCCCCACCTCGCCAAGGCAGCACATATCATGTCTGTGGAAAAACTTGCAGAGCATGGATTGGAGTCCTCAGCCACCTTAAAACTCATCAGTAATCCTGCCCCCCAACAGACATCATCTTCATATAGGGAGATAGCCGATGATCCTTAAGAGCAAGGAAACCCCAAAATACCAGACATTTCTTAACTTCTTATCCATACAGAACATGCAGAGACCCTGCGTGAAGTCAGTAGGAGTTTTGCCATTGGTTTCAGTGCCACCAGAATTTCATCCCATACCCTGCAAGGGACTTCATTATTCCTCCAAAATACTAGTGTACACTACGTATAGTGTATTATTTCTTCTTCACTGTATAAGATTCAATTAATGATAATCTTAGCTATTTAGCAAATTCTTAGTGATGAAGTGCACTCTGCTTTCAGCACATGCCACAGGAGAAGCAGGGACTTTTAAAAAAGTCCTCAAATCAGGTAAGAATCTTGTAGTTCTCCTTCCCACACTCAAACCAGAACTGTCATTTCTCAAGGGGGAGCAGCCACAGCAGCTAGGCTCAACAAGAGACAGTAGCAGCAGGGGGTGGGTTCCCCTGCCCAAGCTTGTTCCGGGAGGGAGCAGGGACAGGCAAAGAGGAGGAACCTGCCTACTGTCACCATTGTTGCAACCTGCTGAGCCCTGCTAGAGAGGACAGGAGCAGCTCTGGATGCCTACCCCTCTCCCCCTCAATCAGCTGGGGACAGTGGGAACAGCAGTGGTAGCAGACAAGGGAGGGGACAAATGGGAGGGGAGGGGCAGGGTTACCAACCCTCCAGGAATTAGATGTAAATCTCTGGGAGAGTGCTGAAAA